GTGAAATGATTAATCTAATAGTAATACAAAAATTTCAAAATAAAAATAAGAGATTAAAAAAACTAACCCTCGGTGGTTGATTTTCCATTTCTGACCGTGAATAGTTGTGAGAGTTGATCTGAGAGATAGAGATAAATGGATTTCGTCAGAAATGGGGACTAATTTTATCGGAGATGGGGACGGATGTCGCCGTAGAGAGTGAGAGATGGAGATGTGACTGAGTTGTGCTTTAGGGTTTTAGGTTAGAAATGATTTGCGATAATATTGTGAATTTGACTTTCGCGTTGCGAATTTGACTTCTGTGTTGCGATTTACAAATTCGCATTGCGAATTTGACTTTCGCGTTGCGAATTTGGAAAATCGCAATGCGATTTACATATTCGCGTTGCGAAATTGGAAATTGGGTTGCGAAATTGGAATTCGCGTTGCGAATTTGTTGGTCATTTTGACAAATCCAAAAAAAGTTGGTTAAATTCGTATATTATAAGGCATTTTTGGTCATTGAGGTTATTTTCTCTTTATTTAAAGTTGCAGAGTTGACCGGTCAATGAGCCAAGTAAGCGGTTAATAGTCCAACTCAACTTTCCGTCACTCATGTTAACGGCTATTAATGTTAAGTGTCAAATTTGTTGCAAATCTATAACGTTAGTGACCAATTTGTTACAAATCGATAACGTTAATGACCAATTTGTTACTTCTGAAGCTTCAGTAGGAAAAACGAAAACTTACTCAAACATTAGTGACTGTTTATGTAGTTTACCCATAATTTTAATTAAGATAATAACATTATACACTTTACCAAAAAGACTTTAATAAAAAAATATTTGTATATAAGTCAACGTTTGTGTGTGTGTATATGTGTGTATATATATATATATACACACACATATACACACACAAACTTTAACTTGTATACAAATATTTTTTATTATTCAATTTTAGGAGATTGATATTTTTTATTAATCTAGTTGAATATAAGATAATACATGTTTGAATGATTTTTAGTTATTTGATGATGAATGTTTATACATTTTTATAAACGTTGCGTTTAAGAATACTTTAGAATAATATAGAAATTGTTGAAAAAAGAGAGAAAAAGAAAACAATAAATCTTACCTGGAAAAGAATGTAATGTCTCGAATCCCGAGTTAGGAGGTTTGGGCTAACCCGAGATGGGCTTTGGACAACTTCTTTGGCTTATAGGAAGCCTTGACCCAAAAACAAGTGAAATTAGGCTTGGATTGAGCCCAAAAATGAATAAAAAAGGGCATTTTTAGTTTACAACTAATCTCAAAATGACCAAGAGTGTCTATAGACCATGGTTCAAAACTAAGGCTGGTTTTCATTAAAATTGGGTGATATCACGTTTGAGCAAGCCTTCTTTTTTTCTTTATTTCATTTGTCTTCTTCCAAGCCTTCATATTTTCTCTTCTTCTTCCTTCAAGTTGGATAGTTAAAGGAGGTAACATGGTAACCTTGTAAACCTAGTTTAGCAACACCAAGGTAAGAAATGAATTCAATATCTTTAGAGCTTTCAATTAAACCCTCAACTTCACCATTTCACTATGAGAACCAAAAACGGGTTTTATGGGAGTTGAGAAACCTAAGGGTTTAATTCGTTTTCAAAGATTGTAGGCTTAGGAAATGTTTTTAAAGTTTCTTAAACCTCTACATTCAGCTAGTAACCCTTGTTCTTGATTTTTCTAGTGAGTGAAGTAGGAGAAAGCTCCAAAGCTAGGGGAAGGAGAAGCTCACTCTTGGTTGAGTTCTTGGGAGCTTCCAACAGCTTAGAATCATCAAGTAACTCACTTCTAACTCAACTCTACCACATGTAACTCATTTAGGTGAGATTTGGTAGGTTGCATAAGCTTAAAGCACGTTCATGGTATATTGCATCATTTGAGTGTTTACAACATGTTTTTGGACTCTTTATGACCCCTAATATCATATAAAACACTTAAACATTAATTGGGGACCTCAATAGGGCTTTTGGGGTAGAAAGATAGGATTTTTCGTGCCAAAATAGGGCACCTCGTAGCAGAGGAATCTTTATTGTAGGAACAGTATCGATATTGTTCTTCATTCAGGTAAAAATTAAACAATTTTCTAAAGGGAAATATCAATACTCATCGAAGGAGTATTGATACTAGGGCCCCGATTTCGATACCGGCCAAGTTGGTATTGAGACCAACATTCCATAATACAATTTTGGTATCGGTACTTACATAGAGTATCGATACTAAGATAGGGGTATCAATACTCTTAGTAGGGGTATCGATACTGTGGGAATTTTCAAAACATCGAACCTAAATTTGGTGTTGATACTCAGGCAAGTATCGACCCAGCACCAGAGTATCGAGACTACCTTACCCAATTAGCCTATATCAATCAGGGGTATCGATACCAACATGAGAGTATCGATACCAAAGGGTTAGTATCGATACTGAAAGACCCTTATGTGTATTTAGTCGTAACTTTGATTTGTACCCAATATTTGTATTACTTTATATCAAGACAACTCTTAGGTGGTCGTTTATGGGGAGATATCGTCACAGACATTCCAATGCAGCAGATTAGACTTTCAGAGACCTTCAGAGTACGTCTTGAGTCATTTTTAGATGGCAAGTACTATTATGGACCCTTATGTATATTTAGTCATAATTTTGATTTGTACCTAATATTTGTATTATTTTGAATATACTTTGGAGCTCCTTATATTTTGTAAACTCATATTATCAATATATTTTATCTCACTTATTTTGGATGGATTTATAAGTGGTTTTAATTTAGTTTTAAAGAAAATTTTTAGGTAACTATTTCGGTAATCCCGTGTAATACTGTAAGCCATGGATCTTTGGGTCGGACTGGATTAAGGTGTTACAAAGAAACTGTAGAATAATATAGAAATTATAGATGTGTAGAAGTATCCATAAAAAATCTAGATATTTATAATATTTAATATTATATCTAGAATTATCTATTAGAAGAATCTATATATTTGTGATGTTAAATGGCTAAGATGATATTTGTCAACAGTCTAATGGCTACTAGAATCTATAAATAGGGGTGAATTTTACCATTATAATAAGAGTGAAAAAGGAAGGAAAAAAAAAGAATGTCAAAAGTGCGAACTAGATAAAAAAAAAGAGCTTTGCGGAAAAAAAGAGAGTTAGAATGCAATCTTAGTTAAACTATGAATATATATAACATATTAAGTTAACTGGTTGGGTAAAAATTTAGTAACCTACTAAACAAATTAAATTAACTGATTAATTATTTAGTAATTAATTAAACAAATTAAGAGAAAAGATTGAGGTCAAAAAGATTAAATAACATTGTAAATGGAGGGGGAAAAAGCATGAAGAGGTTCAAACTCTTAACTCTTAGGGTGTGTTTAGTTCACGGAATGTAAGATTACCAGTGGGAATAAAAGATTATCAGGGAATATGATTACTGATAATGTTGTATTTTGTGTTTGGTTGGTTTTGCAGGAATGTAAGATTACCGTGTTTGGTTAAAGAAATAAAATATTATTAAAATGTATATTTGAACAAATTGTCCTTATTATATATTAGTTTTTTAACAAGTTAGAAAACATTTATATATTTTCTTTAAAAAATTTAAATTCATAAAATTTATATAATTTTTTTTACAAAATAGAAAATATAAAAATCTTTAATGAAAGGGTAAAATTTTATTTTAACCTCTGAATTTTATATAAATTTTTAATTATAGATTTTTTTTTGTAAATCTAAAATAGTTTAAGGATAAATTTGTAATTTAACCTTCGTAGAATTTTTATTATTCAATGACATAATAAGGATATTTTTGAAAAAAAAATTAAGGGCATTTTAGTCCAAAACATCGGTAATCCAACAATACCTAAGAAAAGGGAGGTAATGATATTCCCGATAATATACCCTAAAAAATCCACTATTGATAATGTAAGATTATCATGAATGATATTCCCGTCCAACCAAACAGGGGAATGTGGATTTCATTCTCATGAGAATCTCACATTCTCCCAACCAAACACACCCTTAGAATTTAAATACCAAGCTTAACCATTTGTCCTAAAGCAATATTATTATAAATAGTTATATTATTATTATTAGGCTTGAATTATTACTAGGCATAAAGAGGCATGAATCAAATTTTTTTAAAAAAATCTACAGACTTCTAAAGTCTTTTCCCCTCTCCTTTTATCATTGAAAATCCGATCAGTGATCTCTGATCATTCGTGATTGTCATCGTTGACACTATGAGGATCGCATCCTCACTCCGACTAAAACTCAGTCCCCCACTTATTATGAAAACGTGTTGAACACTTGGGAGATTATCGCGAAGTCTCGTCAGAAAATCAAAGTTTTATCTTGGTTTTTCGTCGATTCGTCGCCATCCAAGCATCAGTGAGTGTCACTGCCCCCACTAAGTGAATCGGTTCATTATTCTGCTTCTCCTGATATCAATGGTGTCGCCGTGATCGTCGTGATGGTAGATGGTGAAGCCAAAGTCCATCTCCGCTACTCTCCGTCGAGAATCAATGATAACAAGTGGCTTAAAATTGCAAGATCTTTAATTCTAGAGAATTTGGTGCGATTCCCAGCATAAATAAAAGGTTAATAATAATGAAACATTCAAACACTTTTAAACCTCAAGAATAAATGAAAACTTTTATTCTAATTAATATGATATAAAATAATGCGACGATAAATATATTTTTATTAATTTAAATTTTTCCAGAATTCTATTTGTTTATCAAGTCTTACAATAACTATGTATTTAATATATATATATATTTCCAGAATTCTATTTGTTTATCAAGTCTTACAATAACTATGTATTTAATATATATATATATATATATATATATTCACATTCAAGCTACTGATCCTGATCCTGATCCAATGTATTTCTCCGCCATGGAAGCCAACGTGGCAATCCACGTGGCTAAATATTAACCACTCTTAAAAAACAAAACAAAGACATAAATAAATATAGCGACAGAATATTATTTTGCGAATAAAACGAAATCCTTGTTCGCTCTTTCTTTATTCCATTTTTCCTCTACGAATCTCCCTAAGGGGAGAAAAATATCAAGAAAGAGCCATCTCCAAATTTCTGCGAAAATATTGTGGAAACCTGAAATTCTCCGCTTCAGGATAAACTGTCATTCCGTGGCCTCTCAGGTTTTCAATTCATGTTTATCTATTCTCTAAGAGATTCTTCGGTTCATGTTATGGAGTTTTTTTTTCTGATTGTTATTTATGTAAATTCTTTTTTTTTTCACAAATTACTGCTCAAAATTATGGTATATCATATCTGATTGGTGGAATTTTGAAATTTCCGGTATAAATTTTATCTTATAGGTTCCAGGAAAGTTTTATTATTCTTATGAATTGAATTTTAATCTTCTGTTGGCGCATCAAAGTTTTAATTTTCTCTTGCAGGCTTGAGGCTTGTGAATTTTGAGAAATTGAACAAGAGTTTCACTTTAATAATACCCATTCTGAGTTTGAAGCTTAGCTTTTATTGGAATATATTATGATCTTATGCTACTGGTGACGCCCTGCAAACGACTGGTTTCACTTCAACAATGTCTCTTTCTGGTTCTTTGCGGTTGTCCTATGATTTGGGACTTTGCAGGAACAAGAAAAAGTTTAAGGTACAGGATTCCCCATGCTCACAAAGCATTTTATATTCTGCTTTGCAATTTTATTTGTATATTGAAAACTTATTCTCTCTTTTATGTTTTCAGGTTCCATATGTAAGGGGGAAGACTGATTTATTGAGCTCCGACCTCTCCTCCGATGCTTCGGTGTGATTTCGGTGCTTCTTGTTTAGGATACTATTTTTCTGCTAGTTGTTAACTGTGATCAGGAACATTGATTGTTTAAAAACAAGAAAAAGTGTCACCTTGATTAATGCATGCATATGTGAAATATACATGTTGGATTTTGCTGCTGAAGTATTCTTAGCATTCTTATGTTGCTATTTGTGGTTTGTGTAGGATTTGGTTAAGCCAAATTTATAGTTGTAAGTTTTTGCTTCGCGTATGAACAGAAATATGATATTTTTCTTCATGATATCACCATTTAAAGTGAATGGAATTTGTAATTGTCTATTTCAACCCCTTAGTCTCTCAATATTTATCAATGCTGTGATTGTACCATGATGTAATGATTTTGCTGGATTTAAACGCTACACTAGATTTATGTTCTGTTTTTAAATATCATACAACATTGCATTCATAAAAGCAGAAAAATTTCATTCTTTTGTCTATTTTTGTGATTATTCAATTGCAATTGTACTTTGAGCTATAAAATATAGAGAGATTCATTATTTAATAGCATTTGGTGAATTTATGTTCTTTAACTGATGTTTGGGGATATCTTTTCTTCTTCACTTCTTGCCACAGTTTGTGCGACATGATGCCTGGGGAAGTCGTCTCTCCAACAACTTGTACAGGCCGATGCATTCTGTTCCATATGGAGAAAATGCCTTTAAGTGTCGTGCTTTTGGAGTGCCTCCCCAAATTCTTGAACTACCTGGTGTAAAACCTGCGTCCATTGCATTGACAAGGTGCTCTTTTTCCCCTGCTCGGTAATCAGTTTAAGTGTGAAAGCGTATATACTGAACCTCGAGATTGTTGTGATCATTTTCATACAGAAAATGTGTTCGGTCGTTAGTTCAGCGTTTCTAGTATTAAACTTTTATTTAGGTTCAAGTTCTAACGCGTGTCTCTAACTATTATTTAAGAGATTTGCTTTTTTCTGCTTTAGATAATTTATTTTACACATGGTTTCATGATTCTTCTGCTGCTGTGGTGATTGTCTTTATGTTTAGTGACTGCAATGTGTTTGTATTCATTTAATATTTAGCCCTTTGTAATGCAGGTCGTACAATAACTTACAAGCTAGTCCTACTGTTCTTAAGTTGATTCCAGCTGTTAGTATTATAATTTTTGCCCTATGTGGTGTTGAACCACTTATTCGACAGGGTAGAAGCTTACTTTTCCATGTAAGTATGCTCTTGTGGGCTCTACTCATTCTGTTATTGGTTACTAGCATGGATCAATAAACATTTAGCCAGATTGGGTCAATGCATTATCTAATATTCTACGATTACCTGCAGAGGAGTGAGAATAGCTGGAAGAAGAGTAGAACACATTATGTTACAACTTCTTATATTCAACCTTTGCTTCTGTGGATTGGAGCAATACTCATTTGCAGGTTCCAAAATATTATTTATATATATATATATATTGAATGTAAAACGTATCCTGTATTTTTGCTGTTATAAAATGCAAAATCTATTTTCCAGTTCTTCAACTCAAGTCCATGATATTGGTGTACTTCTTGCAGAACACTGGATCCATTAGTTCTCCCTACAGAAGCTAGCCAAGTTGTTAAGCAACGGCTTTTACATTTTATAAGATCATTGTCAACTGTGTTGGCCTTTGCGCTTTGCTTATCAAGGTGTGCATTTATTCTCCTTTTCTTTTTTGGTTGTTGGTGAGGATGGTCACTGACTTTAAAATGATGTAATATGAAGTACAGTTTGATTTTTTGTATTTATAGTGTTTCAGAATGTTGTTCGACTGAAATTGATTTTTTGTTGTTGACAATGCTTTCCTAGTTGTAATTATCCATGAAAGTTGTTTTGTTGACCACTAAACATGGTTAAAATGTTTTTATACAGAACGGTTCAGCAAATGCAGAGATTCTTCATGGAGACGAGTGAGGCCAGTGATGCAAGAAACGTTGGTGACATTGCTCTAACATAAACCAATTGATATTAATTGCTAATATTTTAGTAATTTATATTGTTCGTTGGTAAATATAGAAGTGTGTGTGAAATGCAACTCTGATGCCTCACAGTAGAGAGATACCTATATATAATACACATTAGTTCTCTTTCATTGATTTTCTTTATTTACGTATTTTTATGGTTGTTGCTAAGACACCCTGAACTGCAGTGTGACCCTTCTAACTAAATCATGATCTCTTTCTTTATTGGCAGATGGGTTTCCAGTTTGCAGGAAAAGCTATATACTCTGCAGTTTGGGTCGCTGCTGTTTCATTGTTCATGGAGTTGCTGGGTTTCTCTACACAGAGGTGGCTAACTGCTGGAGGTCTAGGGACAGTTTTGCTTACTCTTGCTGGTCGTGAGGTACACCTAAAATGCAATTTCATGTTAATGCATTACAACTTATATGCACATTGAATTTATGTTCGCCTTAATATCAATTTTTACCAATGTACAGTTCTTTTCTTTTTAAGTAAAAATATTTTATGTTAACTGCAATTTATTAATAATATAGATGGTATGGGACTGGAATGTAAACTTACAGATTTCAAATTGGTGATTATTCAATTGGAAAGAACTTGCTGTAGGGTTTAATTGAGTAAGAGAAGATAGTTACCTCTGCAGGTTTTTTTGGAAAGGAACTCAGCTTTGAGGGTGAAAAACTTACAAAAGGGAAATGTCCTACCTGTCATCTTGGTTTTGGTAGTTCTAACCGTTGGAAATGATTAGGGGTTGTAATTGAAGCTTGTAAATTGCTTTTGGTGTTCGATTTGGTAGAGGTTTGATAGGTTTAAGAGATTGATATAGTGCTGGTTTTGAACAATGCTAGAAATAGGGATAAGAAGAAGATAAAGATAACACTTCACGCCTACAGCTAAAACTTGCTTCATACAATTGGAAGGCAGTGTAACTTATCTTGCATCAATAGCATCTTTGAAATTATCTTGTTATTGTCAACTGAAAGAGTTCACATACTTATGGTGTTCTACTTATACAATTTAGTGATGGGATACCACTGAAATTTGTTCTCTCAAAATATAACAGAAGAAAACCCCAAAACAAAATCTTTAGACTCAAAACATGAGATTTTTTAGGCTAATTTAGAGATCGGTGGAATACCACTGAGAATAAACCCAAGAAAACAAGAAATGATAATCTCATATTTAACCCAAGGAAACATACAATTAGTATTTGTTCAATCTTTTTCATTTCCTAAATCAGTCCAAGGTCAAACAAAGATCGACGGAATTCCAAACATTTTTGTTTTCTATCCTGATTTTTTTATCCCTTTGTTATCTGTTTCAGTATATGCATTTTCTCAAGGCTTGACATTTTGTTGTTTGTTGATGTAGATATTTACAAATTTTCTTTCAAGTGCAATGATTCATGCAACTCGACCTTTTGTTATAAATGAATGGATTCAAACAAAGATTGAGGGGTATGAAGTTTCCGGTACTGTTGAGGTTTGTATCTGAGCCTTGTCTCTGAATAATTTGTTTAGAGAAAAAGGTGGAGCTCTTAGATATATGCTTTATGATTATAGTGCTGGTATTAGATATCAAAATTATGATTGGGTTTGCATGATGTAATTCCCTTATCACTTAAAAAATTATCCCATCTGAGGCTTTTCTTATGTTTTATCTTTTGCCATTTTTAGCATGTTGGTTGGTGGTCTCCAACAATAATAAGAGGTGAAGATCGTGAAGCAGTTCACATTCCAAACCACAAATTTACCGTAAATGTTGTGAGAAATCTCACTCAGAAAACTCATTGGCGCATTAAAACTCACCTGGCCATCAGTCACATGGATGTCCATAAGATTAATGTAAGGAGTTATTTTAGAATGTCAAAACTTCTACTGCACCTATTGGAGACATTTAATTGCCATTTCAATTTTTATTATTTTTTTGGATTGCTTGTCTATGCAGAATATAGTTGCTGACATGCGCAAAGTATTGGCTAAGAATCCTCAGGTCGAGCAGCAGAGATTGCACAGAAGAGTATTTCTGGAAAATATTAATCCCGAGAATCAGGCTCTTTTGGTTTGTATCTTTAGAAAACCTTTCTTTTTTTAATCACTTTGTAATTTTTTTATAAGCCCTGTCAAGTGACGCTAAAAGAATTAGCCTCAACCAGTGTCCTTTTTATATGCCGGTAATATAAGTGTGATGTGGTATCATGCCTATTCCACTCTAATCTAACGAACCAAACGACATCTTTCAATTGTTTACACAAGTAGGAACTTTATTTGAAAGTCGAATCATGTCAACCTCTTAGCACTGACATTTTCCTAATGCCTTTTAAGTGTCTCCGAGCACCTTATAATCCAAGAACTTCCTTTCCAGTTTTTCGACAAGAGATACAGTAAACATATGTACGGAATATCCTCTTCTGGTAATAAGGAAGAAATCAATTAGATTTTGCTAAACGTGAAAAGAAGAAACATGCCCCTTGTTACTGGCTGTGATACCTGACATATAAGATGCGTTAGTTGTGCGGCTGTTGTGTCTATAGTCTATGCCTTATCATTCTTCTTTCCCCCTTTCTTTCTTGCTTGACAGATTCTGGTGTCCTGTTTTGTAAAGACTTCCCATCTTGAAGAGTACCTATGTGTCAAGGTAAGAATCGTCCACCGAAGTTTATGCATTTCAATATTCAAGTTTGATATATTTGAATGGATGCGTTATAAGTCTCTTTGGTTGATGATGCAGGAAGCTATACTTCTGGATCTCCTTAGAGTCATCAGCCATCACCGTGCACGGCTTGCCACACCAATTCGCACTGTGCAGAAACTATATGGCGATTCCGACCTGGAGAATATACCATTTGCTGACTCAATGTATAACCGTGATGGAGGGGCATCTAACAGGCCATTTTTACTGGTTGAACCCTCTTACAAGATTAATGGTGAAGACAGAACTAAAGGTCGTTCCTCACGCCCAGTTGGAGAACAAGACGGTAAAACCACAGTGCGGCCTACTGCCGACACTAAAGTGGACAACAAAGCAGGAACGACACCAAAGCCTGACTCCAAGTCCAAAGCAACACTGGCAGTTGAGCCCGAAGCAGATGCCAAAATTGAAGAAATTCCAAATTCTGACATCAAGGAGGAATTTAAGGCAGCATCTGAATCGACATCCGATCCCAGGACAGATGATAAAGTGCCCTTGAAATCACCATCAAAATCTGTCCCCAAAACAAGTTCTAAAGCTGAAGAAACATTAGATCTCAACCAAAAAGTTCCGGATTCAATCTCTGATAATCTGCTCAAAAACAAAAAGGTCACTGACAAGCAACAGAAAATTGCTAGGCCGAGCAGCAAGTCGGATAATCCTTCAGTATCCACACCAGAAACTGGTATTGAGAAAGCAGGTGGATTACAAGAACAGTTGCAATCAAAGCAGGAAGGTGAGAAGCTGGCGGTCTCCCAGCCACCAAAAGCAAGACCTGACTTGGAGGAAAATATAGTTCTCGGCGTAGCATTGGAGGGCTCAAAGAGAACACTACCTATCGAGGAAGAGTTGACTCCATCCTCAGCAGATGCAAAAAAACTGGCTTCTGCAAACCGGAATGGAAACGGATCCACTACCAAGGACAGGAAAGATGGTCAGATTCGATCCACTCCAAAGATCCCCGATAATCAATGATGTATTCAAGACGCGGCAACCTACCCCCAGAGATAACAACTGATCTCTTCATAGGTTTAAAGAATTGAATCAGATCAGTTACTTGAACTGGGAAGTGGCAAGTATTTTTAATTTAAATTTAATTGTTTAATGAAAACTAATAATTTCTAATATTAAGTGGTTAGTAAATTTTAGACCTCCAGAGTAGTTCGAGCCAAGCCAAAAAAAAAATACATGAATAAAGAAGATAGAAAACTTGGAACCACAACCCAATTCAACCTAGGCCGTGATCTATGTCTATTTTATTTTGTGATTGAAATTCCAACATTTTATCTTTTAATTATACCTGTAAATTAAATACATTTTAAATCCATTTTTGAATATTCGATTTTTATAAGGTAAATGGTCGGTCAAATCGGCTGATGGAAAACTACAAATTAAATCGATTTAAATTTCGGTCCAGCTATCAAGAAGAAAGAGCGAAGCATCGTTGCATTGTCCACAACTACTATGTTGTTGCCTGCAAAAGTTGTTTCCTCTCAAGTCACAACAAAATAGCCAGAACAGCATAATGTTGCCGTCCACTGCGTTAAAACCTCAAAAAAAAAAACCTGTTGCAAAAATACCTACTAAGAACACTGCATACATCCAAGGGAGAGAAATGGGGTACTGCTTATTCATGATATCAATAGCACAAGCTGCAAATGATAGCTGCAGTAATAAATCAATAACATACCGATAGTAGTTTCACTTCTTTTAGCATATGGATAGCTGGGCTTTAGGGACTTAACCTCCGAACATGCAATCAAGCGCAGGATGTGTCTATATGGACTGTTTTGGTTTCCTTAACCTGAGTTGCCCTAGTCTGTTTTGGTGCCCTTCTGCCACTGCCTGACGGAATTCGTATCACGTAATATTTTTGTTGAGTAAGAGTTGGCCCAACAGAGCCATATTTGGCCTTATGGTCTTCTTGTTCTCGAAACTTTGATGTCCCAACTGCTTGCATCATTGCAACTGTCATCTATTTGCGACGGGTGAAATATACACACCATTGATTTAGCAGAAGAGGATCACAAAAACTATAGAAGCACTGCTCTTGCACAATATCATTTGAAAATATAATACTGCCCTGTGGGTTGCAACAAAATAAAGCATCGTCGCCTATGCACTAGACAGAAAAACTCACCAATGCATTGTGCATGTTCCCAGGAGACGCAGAGACTCACTATGCATACCAACATAGTAATCAACTGCAGCTAACAAAGAAGCTTTTCCTTTTATACAAGCCCTTTCCTCCGAAGAGGCAAGGCTCTTTTTTTTTCCATCAGCGGAAACAGCTCACGTAGGGTGGAAATCCTAGCTTCCCCACCATATACCTGAAATGTATGGCCATTCGGTGAATAGAATGTAGGAAAACCAAATGTTATATTTGAAGAATCTGAGATGGAAAACGAATATTCCTACAACAAAGGACCTTGTGCGAGGCAAGATAAAGTGAGGTACTATTGTCGAAACGCAAAGCTGCTAGAAGCAATCCAATTTCTTCAGGAATCAATGGGCAACGCACCTGATTTCTCAACTCTTCATCAGTAAACTGAGAATTGAGAATCCTCCCTCCCTAAATTGTTTGTCGATACTTGGCCAGAGCCAATTTTTCAGCTTTACCCCCACCGAAATCACAGGCTGAATGGGCTGCAACATCCTGCATATGTAAAAGGCTAGTGAGTAAGCCGGTGGACTAAACGTCGCATGGATAAGTTATGCAGGCAGATTGTGTACGAGGTCTGAAAAATGAAATATATATTTAACCAATAGAGCTAGAGATTATGAACAACAAAGCTTAAACAAACAGAAAAAAAAATATGCTTCCGATCTTCTAATATGCTGAATCTCATTTCAAGGTAAAGCCTATGCAAAAACCGATGCCACTTGGTTAAAAAACAGGTATACTCATCTACGTATGTGCATGTTATACCTTATCAAACGGAAGATGTACCACAACAAATTTGTGTGGCTTTGTTTTTCATATCGATCAGTGGTCTCCCCGAGGTAGTTACTGCTAACTGCTTCATTTTCACCAGGAGAATATCTGAGGCAATGGACAATGGCATCTCCAAGTGCTGTGATGTGCGGAACAAACACGAGCTTTAAAGTTGACTTTACAACGTAGTTTCTGGATCTCACTCGTCATGTTGTCAAAAGATAAACGGTGAGAGAATGGAGAAATCGCAGCAATCCCATTACTACACAAAAATAAGACAAGTTGGCAACTAAAAGGAACTGAGCTAAAATCATTGAACGTAGAAAAACAGGTCAGCAAACATTTTCCGCGTGGCCCATGACAGGAACAGGCATGAAAGTGTACTTGATATGGTCCAAAAGTCCTTAGGCACGAAACTTATAAAAGAAACTAAAGCGCGGATTAAATGCGAAAGTTTCAAGATGCTACCAACCTCTGTAATACGGGCAACACATACTCGAGATACCAATTAACAGATGCATGAACGGGTGCTCTTTTAATTCTGGTGGCTCTGATAGCAGTGGCATAATACTCCCACGTGCTCCAAGAAAATTCATCCGGCAACTCTTTGACGATTGAAACATCATCCTTCAATACATTAATAAGTGATCCACATCAAACATATCCATGAATGAGCTGCAGGGAAAAAATTATTTCAGAAAAAATGTCCCCTTAAAACGAGGCAAAAGCTGCACATTACGCCTGGAATAAGAAAAGGATATGGTAAATTCCTTCGGAAAAAAAGGTACCTCGAGTCTTGCCAAACTGGATTTGCTTCAAGATGTGGATCACAAGTGTTGCATTCAGTATTTTTGCAACCGCAACGGCATCACATATCTAAAACAACGGAATTTAATATCTGATTATCAGATTGGTTGTCTGGAACATATAAGTGACTAAAATATTTAGTCAGGACGAGAATTACTGAATGTTTTCCGAATTCTCGACTAATCTAGTGTATAATGCAAATGAATACCTACCCCCATTCGTTGCTGGTTGAGTCCACCATCAAGAAACACCTGAAGATATCCTTCAGATTTCTGTGGCAATGCTGCATAAGGTAATCAAAGAAATCGAAGAAAAATTAAATTTTGTGATCTGTAAATAATATTTTAAAATCATCAATACCAAACCTGAGTCTCATAGCTAGAAATACCAACAATGTAGAGAAACAAAAACTAGAAAACTCATTACAGGTCACTCACAGAGAGCATTTACAGATTCAAGAAACGGTCTCCACCCTTGGTCGGCCAAAGGAGCCCAGGGATCGGACTGCTCTCCATTGGACTGAAGAAGTAAATCAAACAGACAAATTACAAGTCAGAATACGCCTGGAAAAGGAAAATCACAACATATGCATGTGCAGGCACACGCACATACAAGGATGCTGCTTAAAGAAAATCTACTCACACTTGGCACTCCTGAGTAGAGATAAATGTCTAGGTTTAGGCACATTACATTCCTGCAACATGCGTCAAAGGGCACAATTAGTCGATTTGCTTCCCAAAAAGTAAATTACGATCATGTCATGCTAACACTAAAAGCAGTCAGCGGCACAAATTACAACATTGATGACTTTACCTTATTTCCTGACCTATTGTAAAAGGATACAATCTCAGTTCCATGCACACTGATAAAAGTAGGAATTGTGCCCCCGAGACGATAAGGAATTGGTCTAACAGTTACCGAACCTTGCTATTTTTGTGAAATTGGAACTACTAACAAAGGCCAAAGTTTACAAGAATGGAAGAAAAGATGAATTGTTGGCCACCAATTTCATTTCCCCAATTAAAGCAAATTAACCATATCTTACCAAGAGATAAGTAGTCGGTTGGCCTAATTTCCAATAAAGCAATCTGATTATAACACAATTAGCTACATAATATTGCCACTTATGCAAACTAAACTCAAACTGATCCTTTCAGATGTATGGAGTCGTGATCGATGTTTACATTGCGTACAGAAACGTCAGAAGAAAATCAGTTGATTCTACTTTTGCCTTTGTGAGGTTTGGAAGGAAGTCAGAAGCAAACACAGCGGTTCGTTGGGCGGATGGCAGGGTTATGGATGGCTTTAAGATTAGAGTATATCATGACAAAATGCGAGAAGTCATTTTCAAGAGGGCTGAGGCTGGAAGTTCATTCAAAAAGGTGTGGAAGCCATCCTTGAGGGATTCTAGATCTTTCAAGGAAGTTCTAGGGGGTTTACAGAAAGAGGACGGGAAGTTTCAGGTTATCGAAGATTGTTATCAACACTCAAATTGTAAAAGGCCTAAGAACGTGGTTCATGTTTATTTAGCAGATGATGGAGCTTCTCGTCCATATCCTTCAAGTGGTGTTTCAAGTAGGAATATATTCATTCCTAAGATGGAATCATCGTGGAGACAATGTTGCTTGGTTGGTAAAATAAAAAACATGTATGATGAAGATATTGTCCAAACAGCATTTAGAGCAGAAGATTTTGATGTGAAGGTTTGTTTGTGGCATGATCTTCTGGTGGTCATCCAATTCAGGAATGAAAAGGATCGACAGGCATGCTGGTTAAATAGAAAAGAATGGGTTCGCCTTTGGTTCGATGAGCTGGAATTTCTGGAAGGTTTTGAGATCAAAATGAGAAGGAAAGTTTGGGTGTGTTTTAAGGACGTTCCTCTCTCAGTTTGGAGCGATAAATTCTTTATGGATATAGGAAGTTTGTGGGGTAAAGTTCTAAGGATAGATGAAGTTACTTCCAATCAGGACAGGTTTGATGTAGCAAGAATTCTGCTGGAAGTGCAGTTCCAGTCGGATATTCCAGAGAAAGTATCCATTTTGATTAATGGAAGAGTTTTTTCCATTAAAATTTTTACAGAAGCTTATGAAGTGGTTCGTGTATTCATAGACGGAGCCTTGTCTGACGGCGGAGAGTGGCAATCAGTTGCCGATGAAGTGGCGGAGTTTTCTGGTTTCGTGAAGGCATGTGCAGTAGATAATGGTCCCGAGAAAGGTGTTATGGGGGAGCTGTAGAATGTTTCGTTGAGTCAGAGACGTGCAAACGATAGTGGAAAGTTGGCAGTAAGTATGGTGCATGCGGATTCCAATGTGGATTACGTCCCAGCTGGAGGAGAGGGGCTTCATAAAGTCTCGATTTTGTCTAATGATGGGCCTCTTATCAA